TTTCTAAACATTGACTGTCTTGTTCTTCCCTTGTTCCCAGAATTTATCATGAAGGATTTATGGTAATGTACACCAAAATCACATACACTGTGACAGTGTAATATAAATGATAACGCGGGAGCTGTGATGAAAGCTGTACCTTGTCTCCACAAAAAGCAAAACAAGTCTGGGAAGTCCATAGGGTATCAGACTTTCAGCAATTCCAGTTGTCATGTCAATGAAGAACTCAGCCTTGGTGGGAAGAATAGAGCATACAGCGATACAGTGACAGGCACTTCAAAATTCAAGGTTGGTTGTTCGTGCAGTTTTTTGTGGGTTTACCTGTAAAAATAAGGTGGGTATTATTCTTTGTAAAAAGGAGAATGCCTGGAGTGGTATTTAGTCTGAAATCCTTTGGATTTGTATAGGATTGCTGCTTTAGAGATACATGGGGAGGAATGGCCGAGTAAGTTCCAGACATAAGTGACAATGGGTTATGTGGATCTCCTTGGTATAAGAACAGGCTATGCTTGATCTTTAACGTATTGGGAAAAAAAAAGAAAATGTTCCATTTGTTCTAAAGGAAGGTTCTGACCACATCAGTAATTCTGCATGTGGAGCTGTAACCTTTCTGCTGCAGAAGTGGTCTGGTCGTTGTTCTTCATCCACGCATTGTCCAAGTTTGGTGATGGTGTATTAATAGATATGGTTCCAGTTCTCAGACTGCCAGCTACCAGCAGCAAGTGTTTTACAAGGAGATGGGGACCTCAAAGCAGCGCTAATGCTTTGTTTATTTTATTATATTCTTTGTATGACACTTTTTATATCCCGTTTATGGTTTGGGCTTATTTTGTTTACTCATGTAAGTAGGTGTCTACAGCACTTCTCAAGTGCACACTGACTGGAAAAGTAAATATTTGCTGTTGATGTGTTTGTTGAAAGAATCCCAGGCAGTTCCTCGCAGAGCAGGAAACCCGAGGGGCAGCCGGAGCGCCAAGTCGGGGCATGTTCCTCTGGCCGCTCCACTGGGCCTTGAGCCCAGGGATGCACTTCCAGCACTTGCTGATGACATGCGGTTGCAGAGGAGAGGGAAACCGCTTTCCTGTGTCGCGACCCTGGGCTCCAGGCACCCCTGTGTCAGCTCCCCCC